TGGATTCAAGTAAAAAAAGAAAGGAAGGCCAATACTTTACATGGATATCTTCTGTGTGCTGACAAGCAGAATATAACAAAGAAAATTTTATAAATAATATAATGACAATCCCACAACACTTCGATCTGAAGCCACACATAGAAAATTATTGGCATGCAGAACATCTTACACAACTGCCATCAGCATTTTGTTTTTGCTACCAAAGTATCATAGGTTGAACACATTCTTATCTGCCCTAAAATCACATTAGTAAGAAGAAAGTAAATTACTAATCTGGAGCATACCTATCTTGTTGCAGCTGCTGAAAAAGCTTTGCATGCTCATATAAAGTACTCTGAATTCCCCACTTCATTGACATGCTATAAGCCACTCAACCATCTTTGCCTTTCCTTATCAAAAATGGGTATGACAGCTTTGAGAACTGTTTGGCACTAAAAAACAATGTTCTCTGCCATCAACATTAGGTAAATAAATATATAACACTGAATAAGCAGAATGAAAACTGCATTCCTACATTTTAGTTCTCATCTAATAAATGCTACAGAATTAGTTCTGATAAACCAGTGCCTCAATTCTGGGAGAACTGGGTACTCTCCTGAAAGTTACAGAACAACTAGGTCTTTGGGTGATTGCATTGGGCAATATGCTTAGCAATAAAAGAGATTGCTTACTAAATAGAACAAAGTCATCTGAAACATTTAAAAAAGTGATATAGCATTGTTCTTTAAATGAGAGATTTACTCTGTCTAATAAATTAATCATACACTTTTACACTGCATTTATGGAATTATGTAATAATAAATAGTATTCAAACTTACTGTCAATAAGATCTATCACTTGAAAACAGCAGAGCTCTAAATAGAACCATAAAATAAAAGTGCTATTTTGATTCTTAAACTTGAACTAGAAGAAAAGTTATTAGAAATATGCAAAATACACAAAAGAGTGGTTAAGCCAATTTTTAGGGGGAGTAACGGGGGTGTCACTAGTAATTACTAATAGAAAGGAACCCAGGCGTAGGAGAACATCTGGGGTCCTGGTAATGCATTTCTTTAATTTTATGTGTCTTGATTTGAATGCTAATTATAAGAGGATGATTGAGATTGTAAAATATCATAGGGTATACATTTACCATATGAGTGCTTTTCTGTGTGTATATTATAGTGAGATAAAACAGATTAGAATGGACACACACATATAATATCTACCTATCTATCTAGTTATAATATGTATCCTTCCACATATCAAATTGTCAGTACTGGCAAATTTAGGAATGGGATTAGCATGAGAGGCCAGTGAAAGAGGAGGATGGAGGTGATCATGATGAACTTTTATTTTTGATTTTAAATTAACATATATTTTATATATTTACCCAAGAAACATGCATTATTTGCATAATTTAACAAAAAAGTGAAGTGAAAAAAGCCTACCTGTATGACACATAAAAGTCAAGATTGTGACTCTGGTGCAGTCAAGATAATTTTATAGTGCATACTCTACCTGTGAATCTAGTATGTTGGAAATTTCATGTGCACCAACATTTACTTCATCCAACTGCAAGCAAAATAAGTTTTTGGCAACCTGGACAAAATCTACAATGGAACATATTTCAGTAAGAACACAGCATTTAACTTCATCTAAATAAATCTGACTTTTTTTTTAATATGAAGTTGAAACTATGTGTTATAACTAATGCTCCAAATTTAACTTATATAAATTATCTTAAAATAGTATTGACTGAAGTGACAAGAAAATTTAAGTTCAAATAAGTAAGAGATAAACTAATTCTAACTTAACTTCAGTTAACTTTGCTAAAATTAATAATTCAGTCAATAATAATAAAGAAAATACATATCACAGACATATATTCACCTCTCCAACTCTTGTATTATGAGCAGAACTTTTTCTGAAACATATGACAATATTACGACTAACAGCTTTTCTAGCTCGAAAAACCTGAGATTTAATAATAATAATAGTAGCAACTAATGTTTATAGAACAGCTGTTGTGTGCCAGGCATGGTGGTTAGCAAATTCATGCTCATAACAATTTCCTGAAATGGATCCTCTCATCTTCTTCATTTTACAGATGAATAAGTTGAGGCTAAGATAGGTTAACTCTCTTAAACTGCCAAAGGCCACTTGGCAAATAAGTTGCAGAGAGGTCCATAACCTTCTTCAGACATGGAGAGTGACCTATTTATCTATGTATCCTCAAGTATTTTTCATTTTGGCTACTATATTTTGAATTTCCAAGTATCCTTTTAAGTGTTCTCTGATTGTTCCTATTTTATAACATCCTACTTTTATTTCATGAAAGCATTATCTCCATTTATCTTTTTTTTGTTTGTTTCTTTCTCTGTCACTCAGGCTGGAGTGCAGTGGCCCAATCACAGCTCATTGCAGCCTCGAATTCCTGGGCTCAAGGAATCCTCCTGCTTCAGCCTCCCAAGTAGCTAGGACCACAGACACATGCCACCATGCCCAGCCCACTTTTTAAAGATATTAATTATAGTTTACATGAAGTTCTCTTCTGTTCTTCATTATTTCTCTTTTTTCTGAGTTCCTTTTGTTTGTTTGATAATTTTGGCACTATATTTTATGTTGAAGGATTTCTTCAAATGTCTGGTGATCCTTGGCTCCTTGGCTACGAGTTCAGATTGAAGAATCAGGCACTAAAAAAGTTGATTGGAAACTTGTCTTGTCAACTGGCAGGTTTCACTACAAGGCAATCAGGTAGCCAGCTGCAGCTTCTTCAGAGAGAATCCTACAATCTCCTGCCTATAGTTACACACACGGCTGCAAATTTCCCTGAGCAATCTGGGTGTGTGCTGTGAGTCATGGCTCACCACACACTCCCTCGAACTCCCTTGCTGCTGGCAACTACAGATCCAGAACCTCTCTGGTTCAATTTCTCAAGGGAATATACCTCAAGGGAGGTACAAGGGAGTCGTAATTGCCGGACTGCTTGAGAAGGAGCAGGGAAGAGCACATATTACTCTCCTTATAAAGATTTCTAACAATCCTGTTTTAAATGCCCTGCCTAAACCTAGCCATCAGAAGTACCTGATGCTCTCGATTATAATACTAAGTAAGCCTTTTCAGAGTCAAATCACCTTGTTCCCCGTTGTGATTTCTCTCTTTCTTTAGACACTTGCACTTTATCTGCCACTGCTCACTAATTCATTTCCTTTCCTCAACCATTTTCTGTCCTTAGATGTTGTGCTTTTGGTTATATGCGTATGTCTGTTTCTTGTTCCCATTATTTTGGGGTAATTTTCAACAGGAGATGGGACCAAAACTATCTTTTTTCATCA